AGGATAATTCCTGGGAGTTATCAAAACCAAAATCTTTTGGATTGGGATAAGGATAATGAGATCTTCTGTATTGATTCTCATTTTGTCACATGTCCAGACCATGACCGTGTGTTGCATACATGTTAGTAAACACCCCTAGCGCATCTTGCACTCTTAACATTGATCCTGGTGGCGACTATTCATATTGATGTGATAGCGGACCATAATGGTCATAGAAGTGTTATGGAGGGGTAATTCGCACTCTGCTTAAGACCCTCTGCTGGTCCTTTTTATTTAAGGACAGATATTTTGGCGTGGTTACATGTCCATGGAAAAGCGCCTCATTTTGGACAACCCACTGCACAGCAGTATGCAGATCTTGAACAACTGCTGGCTCCTGTGTCAAACAAATGGGGTTATTTTAACAGTGAGTCAAAAGTCACTAACCATTTAATTACACTAGTGTTTAAAGTGAATACTGACCTTACTGACTTCCGGTAACTTACGCTTTTTCACTCTGAAAATGGGCACATGTTGTCCTTGAAGCACAGCTTTGGCGTCCTCTCTCCAGTGTGCAAAAAGCTTGCCATAGCTTAACAGAAAATTCTGATATTGTTAATGTGTCTAAACCTTGAGACAAAATAGCACAGAAGCCAAAATATAAATACCTCCTGAGATCAAAGTTCTCCATCAACAGCAAGCACCACCATTTCCACAATTAGGGCATGTCTGACTGTAAAATATCAATATGAAACATGTTTAACATATTTAACAACTTTCAAAAGATTCAAGACTCCATTGCTCTCAAATTAAATAGGATACTTACTATAGTATAATCAAATGTGCATCCAGTGCAACGTAGAGCAGGGCCGTGCACAGACCTTTTGAGGGCCATGTGCTGAATCTGAAAAAAGGGCACCCCCCCAACCCCTCCACCACCAAAAAAATAACACACAATAATACCATATTTTTCTATTCATATTTTTACACTTTATTAATCCCTGTGGGGAAATTCTTTTTTACACCTCTCTCAACTTGCTCTTTGTAAAGCAAACTGTCCACAAAGGGCAGCCACCTGTAGCGGCGCCCAGGGAGCTGGGGGTTGAGGGTCTTGCTCAAGGACCCGCAGACGTGCTGAGGCTGGGCTTGAACCAGTGACCTTGTGATTACAGGCACACGGCTTAGCCCACTGAGCCACACGAGTGGGGAGTATACAATACTAGATTTTTTTTTTAAATCTAGCCAGCAAACACATACATAATATAATAGCATCGTAAATTTTAACCTACCATGCTGTGTGACCATAGGCTATATAATATGATGAAATATTAATAAATTACATCATGTAATTTACATGCATCAGCACATTCAGCAGATAGCCATAAAATCAAAATAGATATTTCTTATAATATATTTTACCTAGCTGACAAGGATCACTCAGTTGCTTTGTGTCAAACTCAAATGCAGTTACACCGTGGGTTTTTGACCAGCGAATGTGTGCAATTTGTCCATCATTAAAACGACGACATTACATTACGTCAACATCACACCGGTGTGGTGATGCATTATATGAACCTTTATAGACATACTAGTGTTTATTTCATAAAGACAACGTTGCACTTATTCAAACAACAAGATATTTTACCGTTACAAGATGAAGACGTTCATCTGCTTCTGCTCTATGACTCTGTCTCTGATGTGCTGAAACGTAAGTTCGCGTAAGTTGTGAAGTTTGACTGACAGTTTGAGCGGTTCTAAGAGATGCGCTTTTTAATGCCTTTAATTGGTAAAATATTTGTTAAAAAGACAAACAGACGTAAAGGGTTACCAATAGCATTTATTTATTTAAAAAAAAAAAAAAACTCCCCCCCAAAAAAAGGGCATTTCCTAGTGTAATTACAAAAAGGGCATGTGTTCTGCACAGGTTGAGCCCTACCTGTGCACGTGCCTGACATAGAGAGCAGATTGTTTGGGACAAAAAATAAAAATTACATTGTTTTGGAGCTTAATTTTACTTTTGTATGAATCTCAAGGAAAACTAAATAACAGAAAAATAACCATTAGCATGAAGATCCCACAGTCAATTCCTAAGTCTTGGCTCAGAAAACCCTTTATTACAGAGAAAATAAAGGCTCATTAATAAAATCCCTTAAAAGAAGACTAGCGTAATTCATGTAATTCACCATACACTCACACCATTACATACCTTCAAGTCAAAGATTTTTTCTGACCACTGCCCTGGAATGAGAATGCAGCGGGAGGGAGACTGGGATCCTCGGAGAGTACAGTGGTGGCTGACTTGGCATCGAAGAATGCTGACTTGGCATCGAAGAATGCTGACATGACAATAAATGCCTTGCCATATCCCCATGCCATATGATTGTCCTGTTACAGACAGGGCAGTGAAAGTGTCCTTTCATCCTACATGGCAGCCTGCACCGGCATATAATTTTGTCTGTAAGAGAGAAAAAAACACATGTAATTTAAATGTAGTTATATAGAATGCAATCAATTTATCTAACAGAGTGTACATGTTAACAAAAACATAAATAAAACAATGACCGTCCAATCCTAATAAAAGCAAAAGGGTATGGATCACAAGTGCCATCAAGCAATGTGGTGAACAGGAAAGAAAAATATATTTAATAAAAACACAAGCTTTTTCTTGCTGATGAATGCACTGAACTGTACAATGTGAATAGCAACTTTAAAGTCAACAAAGAGACTACAGAAGTGCTGAAAAGCACTTTTAATGTGTCCATTTATATGTTCCTCAATCTTTACCCTGACAGTAGGGCTGAAAGTAGGGCACAGAAGGCAGTGAGAGAGTCTTTTGCAACATGTTGTACATTCCTGCAATGCTGGCTTTGAGGCAGAATTACATAAGAACATATAAGAACATAAGAAATTTACAAACGAGAGGGGGCCATTCGGCCCATCAAGCTTGTTTGAGGAGAACTTAACTAATAGTTCAGAGTTGCTAAAATCTGATCTATCTCTGATTTAAAGGAACCCAGGGTTTTAGCTTCCGCTACACTAGCAGGAAGACTATTCCATACTCTAACTACACACTGTGTAAAGAAATGCTTCCTCAAATTTGTTTTAAAATGTGCTCCCATTGAAATGTGCATCTAAAACAGAGAGAAAAGCAGATAAACACCATATACACATTTGAACTATTTTGATGCTACTTTATGCTACTGTATGTTCTTCAAAGTGCTGAGACCCTTATTCTACTGACCACATTGAGGGAGCAGAGAAAATGTACTAGACAACAGATTAAGTTGAAATTATGAGATCAAATACATTTTGGATGGAAAAAAAAGGAAACCAGTTCAGGTTTTAGCAGAAATAACACATTACACTTAGCATGTAATAGTGATTTCTCAATGTTACACTGGTAACAATTACTGTTTAAAACCATTGTGCTTCGTGATAACGATTTAGCAGCATAACATGAAATAACTAAATGATGATTTGGGGGGAAAAGTCTATACAAAAAGATACTTTAGAAGATACTTTTATTTGTGACATACGTATGTATTGACATACAATTTAACAAAGGCTAACTAAAAACTGGGCAATAAAAAAGCAGTACAGAAAAGAATAGAGAATATTTATAAATATAAATATATAAATCTCTTTGTGAATAACTTTACAATGTTGATGCAGGTGGAATAAGAGACATGAATAAAGTGCAATATGCAGTAAATGGAACAATGTACATTGAAGTGAAGTGAATTTGTTCAATAAGAAGCAAAAAAAAAAACATTTGAAACTGACCACTATATGCCAACAATAAATCATTCTAATGCAAAATGTGGTTTAGAGACTATTTTCTGTCATGTCGCCCACAGAAGCCCTTCATCCAGCTCTCTTACTTAAACCAGGGCCAGGAAACTAACATATCTGTTAGGGATGCACCGATACCGGTATCTGGTATCGGCCTCGATACCACATTTTCTAAAGTACTCGTACTCGTTAAAAGTCCCCCGATACCGGGGACCGATACCATGGTCTGAGAAATGTCTATGTTTGAGCGGCATGTAAGGGGTTAATCACAGGCACCGAGTGCCCGCCCCCAGGCCCCGGCTGCAGCTCAGAGCAGGGAGAAGGCGAGGCGAGACATGTCAGCTGTGTGGAACTATTTCAAAGTGAATGAAGACGATAAAACAAAGGCGGACTGCAAATTGTGCTCAGCGAAATTGTCCAGAG